ACTAATAAAAAATGTCGGGAAGGTAATTTTACCTATATACCTGCTAACCCTAGGCCTAACCCTAACCCTAAAGTTAATAATAATTTTATTGATTTTATGTAACCTACTCCGCTTTAGAGTAGTGATAAAATATGGTCGGCTGACTAATGCGACTAAAGCAGGCCAACATTAAAAGTTAATTTGGCCGGCATTAAGAATTAATTAGGCCAGGCATTAAGAGTTAGTTAGGCCGGCATTAAGAATCAGTTAGACCGGCATTAAGAATTAATTAGGCTCGGCATTAAGGATTAGTTGGCCCGGTATTAAGAATTAGTTTGGCCCAGGTTATCAGGATCATGGTCAGTTTATATTATCGGGGGGTAATTATTGAGGATAAGCGAATGTGGTATTTGGGAGTTATTCATATGGGCGAATATGCGTCAACATGCAACAATATGTAATAGTGGACTTAGCACCCTAAAAAAATTTTAATAGAGGGTCAGGTCATTTGACATAATGTTTGCTGCAAAAAATTTATATACTGCGCCAAAAGGTACAATACGTAGGTAAAATAGTGAATTGAACATATTAAGGGAGAGTCGGGTATTATGACGCACCTAAGAGTTGATTATATAAAACTTTCCAGAAAAAATATATTTATTCTTAAAATTTATTGAAATAGATTACTCATCAAATTAACTATCTGCCAATAAAAAAAAAAATCAACTTTTTTAAAAAAAATTTTTAAATATAAGCTTTCAAAATCTACTCAAAAAATACTGTTTTTTATATTTAGAAGGGTATTATGACATACATCAGATATGTCGAATTAATGTCGGAAATCATATACATATACGTATAGATAAGTATACGTAGCATACATAACTACGCATCTTTTCTTTTTTTATGTAACCGTTCTTCTTTTTTTTTGCTTATTTTCGGCTTTTTTTCTATTTTTTCAGCTTCTCAGTCAGCTCGTTTCTGGGCTGTTTCCTCATTTTTTCATTTTGTATTTTCTGCTTTGTTCTTCACTGACTCATCCATCTCTTTTAATATTTGTAAAGATTCTTTGTTAGTAAGAAGTCAGGCGAAGGAGAAGTTTTTTCTTTTCTTTGGCTGATTGGGCTCTGATTCATTTGTTTATGTTGGAACTCGAGCTGTAAGATACTTAAAAGTTAGTTTTAATGCGCAGGTGCTGGGATTTTTAAACATTTCAAGTTCTTCTTTTAGTAACATATTTTCTTTTCTTAGAGTATAGATTTCTGCTTCTAATAATTCGATCTTCTTGGAATGACTTAAAGAAGATGATAAAGAAAAAGATATTGAAGAGGAAGACAATAAAGAAAGCAGTGAAGATGAAGAAGATGAAGATAGTATAAAAGGAAAATTGTTTTGTTGAGAGAATGAAGATAAGATATCAATTCTTTCAGTAGATAAAGAGAGATCAAGACGATGGGGTTTATGGCATTAGGGTTAAAAGGCCAAATTTCTGTAGCTCTAAAAGTATTAATTATCGTTGCAGAGATGTAAGTCTTATTAAATATGGGACTAAGCATTTTAGTGAATGTGTACTTAGTCATTAATTCATCAGTTTCATGATGAAGCTTATTGCAATTTTTACTATATTCGGTTTTTAGTTTTGCAAAAGAAAGTTTAGATAGTTGAAGAATATGTGTTGTGTGTAGTAAAAGTGTATAAAGTAAAATTCTGTTTTCATAACAATAATTAACACTTGTATAATTTATGTGACTACTATGATCATCAAGCATTAAAAGAACAGGACGATGAGAAGGAATAGAACTTATAAAATGTTCAATATACATTTGAAAGAGTTCTTCACACATATACACCGAATTAGTAAAGCCTATAACTGTACTGGATAGAGCACCATCTAACAAACCAGGAATTGTATGAATATCTTTATATATAATTAAAGGAGGGATATACTCGCCAAAGGCTGAAATTATTAGTGCAACTGAAATATGATCGTGCGAGTTACTATAAGCAACTTTATGTATTTGACAAGAGCTTTTAGTGGCAATAACTTTTTAAACTTTGGAATTATAATGAAGCCAGTTTAGTCTATATTCCAAATATAATCTGAGATAAGTGAATTATCTTGAATTATCTTATTTAGTTTATCAAAAATAGTCTTTAATGATAGTTGGATTGGATTTTTGTGCACATGCCTCTGACAAGGCCTAAGGCACTCGAAAAGATAATTCAGGATAGTTTTTCATAAAATGTTTCCACCAAGTCTTACCAGGTCTACTATCTTTGAAAAGGTAATTACAGCCATTGTTATTTATGATATTCATCACGCAGTAGTTTACTCCAGATCTTGTAAGGCCAAATCCTAGTCTTTGCATGTTTTTACAGTAACCTGCTAATTGTTCTTCTTCGTAGCTACTCAAGACTGTTACAGGGCTAGAACGGTCAGGTATATGATCTTTTTTAAACACATGTCTTAGAGTTGCTTCTGCAAGACTGAAATTTAATGCAGTTGATTGTATACTAGGTGGGTTGGGATTATTAAGTATTTTAAGAGCTGATTTTATAGCATTTTCATGCATAGTTTGAGTAACTTTAGAATTTTTAGCTACGGTTTTGGGAGAATCAGATTTTTTATTGCACTTTGCTTTTGACATTTTGATTTGTTTTTTTATTTTTTATTTATTTATTTATTTTTTTTTAATCGTGAAATTACAGCAATTTATATTTTTAATATTGCTTATAGCCGATAGTTTATTATCTACAATCACGATTGTAGTTGTAATTGTATGCAATGATTGTGGTCATGACTATATGCAATTATGATCATAATCATAATTGCTCACAATTACGATCACGATCATAATCGTGATTATTTTTTGGTTTCTTGTAATCACGATTACATCACGATTGTTTTTTTATAACTTATGTAATTGTAAGTTTTGTCTGCAAATATGATCGCGACTATAATTATTATTTAAACAAATGAGGTTTTAACAATAAAGCTAGACAGAAGCAAAATTTAATCTAACTGAACCCCGTAGTTAATAAAATTAGTTTAACTAAATTTGTAATTAAACGAAAGCACTTCTCAAATATAAATAAAATAATTTTTATAGAATGCTCATTTCAACATAAAAAATTCGAAACATTGAATATGTCATATAATTTCATTTTGCAAGATAATGATCTGATTTTAAACCTTTGTAATGAGTTAATAAAAAATAAAAATACTTATAATAAGGCTGAAATTAAAGAACGGATGCATTATGTGCTTCCGTCTCTTTATAACCGATTAAAAAACATTATACATTATTTTTTAAAACTCATCGTTACAGATACTTTCGTCGATTCAATTGACAATTATCGCACTCACATTACTCAATATAATCAAATTAAAGATTTTATTTTTTTTGGAGAAGCTATTTATTATTTTGAAGATCTAGCGAAGTTGGACTATTTTCTTTTAATGGATAAAAGATTTAGTAAAGCCGCAGGTGATATTTTTGATCAAAAAAATAAATATTGATTTAAAATTAAAGGGCTTGAAATGTGTAAATTTGTCGAATTGTTTTTTACAATAGAAGAATTTAATTCTAGTTTTAGAAAATTTTACGAAGACTGTTATTTATATAGGAATGAGGAACTTACCAGTAGTGTATATAGCAAAATTTTTTGCCTTCTTGATACCCAACTTTCAACAAGAAATTAATTCATTACCTCATTTAGTATAGTATATAAGTATATAAAATTTATTAATAATTACACCAGTATGTACATACTAACTTGATTAGTCAGATCGTAATCAGATTCTTATGGGTCAGTATCAAAAATATTAGTAATTTTATGTTTTTTCATTGTTACTCAAATACTATCGCTTTAAATAAAATGAATTTAATAAATATCTTTATACTCATTGACTAAATCAATGCGAATAAAGAAATTAATTATTCATAAACCTTAATAGTTTATTTTAAATACTTCAATTAATAAAAGATCTTTGTTTATATTCACTGACTAAATTAACACTAATAAAATGAAATTAAATATTCGTGATTTTAAATACTTTGATTTATAAATGACCTTTATACCTACTCACTAAATTAATGTGAATAAAATGATAACCCGATTTTGTATCTAGTTATACCAATAATAGTCTAAGACTAGTGGGTAACCCAGAAATTAAATTTTATAATCTCTACATTAAATATTGATTGTAACTAGGTAATGAGCTTGTAAATAGATGGGCCTAAGTAGAGATTTTTTAACAGGTACAATCTCCAACGACAAGTTGATTTTGTAAATTCTAACCAAATAATTTAATTAATTATTATTATTACTATTTTACAAATTGTTTCTTATTACTGTCACAAATAAATTAATCGTGATTGAACATATCACGAACAATAATCATACCTGGAACTCAACCAATGCTATACATGAATGCGTCCCAAGATTGAACAATTCAAACCAAGGTGGCATTCAACTGAATCAGGAAACGATGTCATAATTTGTAGCAAGGTTTAAAGATAGATATTTTTAGTAGTATTTGGTGAGAATATAGTAAGTTTTGGATGAGAAAAGCTTAGATTAGTAAATAATCAAAAAAAAAAGAAACTTACATATAACGCCAAAGAACAATCAGTTCTTGTAAATCAGATGGAAAAATTTGAGAGAAAATTAAAGAAAATAGTAAGGGTAAAAATGCAATATTATAAAAGCAGAGAAAATTTTAATAATAAAGTACTTAGCTTTCATGGTACCTAATAGGGTTAAGTAAAGAGAATTTTCGTTAGTAAAAATAAAGACAAACATTTATCAAAATAAAATAAAATAAAAAATTTAATTAATACTCGCCAAATCTACTCATGCCTTTCGAGACCCAAAGTCACTTCAAGTTTTGTCATTATATGAGTTTCTTGTCAAGTCAAGTGACAGACTCGCTGTTTACCTTCTTCATTATAAAATACAATTTTTATTTGTCAGTGCAAGCAACAGGTTCCTAATAGTATTTCTTTTAAAAATATATTTTATTCATGATCAGAGAGTTCAATATATAAATTATCGGTTTTTTTACCAATATACATAGGTACACTAAAAGTTTGATCATTATATGTTATGGTAACTACTCCTTCTTTAGTTAGAATATTCATATTCATGGCTTTAATTATATCTTTTCCAATTAACCCACCTATTTGTTCTATATTTTTATCTACATATACTTTAGTATATACTTTAATTTTATTAATTTTTAAATATAGTAATGCTGCACAATACACAGGAATTACAGCATTACCATGTCCAATAATTAATTCATCTTCATCAAGATCAATTTTTTCAAGATTTAAAAAATTAAACAGTGCTAAAGAAATCCATGTTACATCAGATTGAGTATCTATTTCCATAGTTAATTCTTTATAAGGATTTCCTACTATTTTACAAACTTTGGCTTTTATGGATATTTCTCTAGCACTTCTTTCAGCAAAACTAGGACCAGCTGGTGGTAAAGTTATTTCAAATTCAGGTAATGGTAAAATTTTAGGTTGAGGTGTTTGCTTGTTGAAGGTTTGTTGTGGAGGTTGACCATTAATAATTGGTACTTTTTCATCTTTTAAAACCAATATATGTTTATTATGATATAAGTGCCACAGAAACTGATAGCATAAAGCATAGGTTCCATTGCATGATCTTTTAATATTAGCATATCTGATGCATGGATGAGATGTAGGGACGGGTTCAACATAGAGTCTTGGTGAGCAATTTTGAACTTCTTGCCACTTGGAACAAAATAAAAAGATTCCTCTACAGGCCACTTTTTTTTCTTTGCATTCATTGCATGCAACATTCTTAGGACCACGTCAAGAAGTAGCCATTAGAATTTACAAAGTTTTAGATGATATATTATACAAATTATAAAAAATATTGAGCAACAAAAAAGAT